CCGATTATGAACGATTTCTTGCAACAGAAAAGGTTCTTTTATAATGCTGGAATACAAAAGAAATATATATTAATCAGATTAATCTGATCTCCAATGCTGTTTTGTCGTTAAGGAGGCAACATAAATTTGTGGTCGTTGTACTGAAATAAAATATTCTTAACCTGTAGTATACATGCATGTGTGTCTGTATTTGGCGCGACAGCCCGTGAACGGTCTCAGGCCTACCGGCGACGTCCCTGCCTCGCAGGCCACGGGTTAAGGCGGTACGTGTGGTTAGCACGAAGACATCCCCACGCCATATCCCGGTCTTTTCAACCTGAGAAATGAATTTTCTCATCGTTACACAGCATTGACATTGAAAAGAAAACGCATTCTATAATCTTGCCTGACCGGGAATAAAACCCAGGACCGCTTAGTGGAAAGCGAGCACGCTGACCACGAGGTTGTAGTTACAATACTTACCTCATTTCGTCAAAAATTTACTTAGCTTTTTCTTCGTGACCACAGAATTTTTAAAGTGAAATAAAATATGATTAAGTGTATTGCTAATGGGGATTCGGTGTTGGATGTGATGATATTTACACATAATAATTATTTTGAATAAAATGTCTAAACATTATGGCTTGAGGGGGGCATGTGTCGGTGTCCCTCCTTCGATCCGACTCTACTAAAATGGAGCACACGAGCTATACTAGTATGATACAACCTGAGTTCGTTTTGCAAATATATTAAAAATATTTCAGTTTTCCATTTAATATATAATTGAATGTGAATAATATGAAATAATCTTATGAATTTCTGGTGATATTCGGAGTTATTTTTAATAACGTAAACTGAACAATACAATAATTCTGAATTTCTGGAAACCGTGTCCCTACATACGGTAACGGAAATTGAACAATATGGTTGTAAATGTAGGTTTCTTAGCATAGAGTTTCTCAATGTCTGATAATGTTCTACTTTTGTCTCACTGACACTATTAGAACAACAAACTACTTACGTAGAATGAAGAAGTTCATGTGCATTAAAGAATTAGAAATAAGATATCCTTGGTAATGAATATAATGAAAATTAGTTTACCCGTAAGTCTACAATTCAATCATAATGTTACTGACTATACATATTGTGAATCGATGATAAAAATATATGACATGAAGTTAATCATGAAGTTTATTCAAACACTTAATACTTATTTTTATTTTAATGATAACGTTAGTTCGATTATTATCTTCATTCTCACTCTCAAGAAAATAAAATAGCTCCAAAAATGAATTCATTTTTCCAAATCATGACAAAGCAGTCATCACAGGTTGTAAAAGTCGTACAACTGAATTTTAATGAGTCACTTCTTTTGTCAAATAGTTGAAAAATTGTTTTACGTTACAACTAGTGTAGGAGAAGATTGTTACTTTGTTTTCCGTCGTCTCTTATCATTTGTTTAACATAATCCCTATCTTTACAGCATTTAAATTCTGCCAATACCATCAAGAGCTTTAATGTAGGAAAAAACATTTTATGCGTTGGTAAGTTCGTCCAGTGAACGAATGATCTCTGAACCAATATGGATTGACGAATCGGTTTTACTGACGGTAATGAACTCAAACTTTATCGAATCTGATTGAAATCAAAGGGAGGTGTGAGGGGAGTAAATCCAGCAAATGCATGACCCTGATTTACTGAAAATTACGATCCTCAAAAATATTTGTTTCGTGAGAGGATAATACTACAAACATCAATTTTAAAACTAATCAAGGATTGATTGATTTTAGGTCAGACAGAAACGCAGACGTAAGATCTGGGCGCATCCAAGAAAATAACTGATGGATACACGTAGTCTTCATAAAACTCGTAAAAAAGCAGTAAAAGTAGTATTAAATACCAAATAGAAAACAAAATTAGAACACTCAAGATCAAGATAGCCAGATGAAGACGAAACAGGCTGCAAGCCCAATTGTTTATAGAGAAAGAGAAAAAACATTTAAGTCACTCGGTGTATAGTATCTAGGAATCTAATTTCCGGCTGAAGAGAACATCATCGACTTCCAGTGCTAAACAGTATCAAGTACAAAAACACCATAGAAACGGTATTTAATTGGCTGTCCGGGTGACGCGACGTCACCCGGACACCCAATTAAATACTGACTCCGGCTGCGGAAGCCTACGCTCTCACCATAGAAACGATACGCACTATTGTACAAAAAACACATCTACCACATGAATACCAACACGCACGATTATTTAACCGCGAACGGAAACAAACCAGGGCGACGCACCGCCCCCGAAAACCCCAAAATCGTGTCTCCACGTCTCGCGGGCGAGAGTGATCGCGTTTCGAAAAGTGTGCCAGGTTTCCACGCTTTCTTGCGGCGGGGAGTTCCGTATGCGTAACACGACGGGCTCAGCCCCGTTTTGTCGCACGCCGTGCCGCCTCCGCCGCCGCCTCCCACGCGATGGCACGCGTGCGGAGAAACCAGGCGACTGCGCAGGCGACGCGAAACACGCACGCGGCGACGAGCCTCCACGGCGCAGACATGGATTTAGATTCATTTAGTCAAAAAACAATAAGAAACTGTATGTGACGTATGGGGAGAAGATAATCTGCGCACGTTTTCTTGAGTTCCAGATTCCCTTCCCGTCATTTTAACTATAAATAGTTGAAAAATCAATAAGAGTTAAAAACAAAATTAAAATTAATAATAATATTGTTTTAAAAAAGTGCGACAGTAGCGACATTTGAAAAACTAGACATTTGAGTTCCCAAGTAATAGAAAACTTATTTGCAACGGTAATCTGCGCACGTTTTCTTGAGTTCCAGAATTCCTTCCCATCATTTTAACTATGAATAGTTGAAACATGAATAAAAGTTAAAAACAAATTTAAAATAATAATAATAATATTTTTTAAAAAGCGCGACAGTAGCTACATTTGAAAAACTAGACATTTTTGTTCTCGAGTTATAAAAAACATATTTTCAACGGTAAACGAACTGCAATTTTGTCTGCTTTGCTAACAAAATAGTAACTTGCCCTTGCCTCTACTCCTAACAAAAGCAAAAGGAGAGTTCAACAAAACGTGAAGACAGTGAAGCTACGTTTACGACGCAACGAAACGACCGGCTGAGGTGGCTCAGAGCATCGACCTCTGATTGGGAGCTCTTTGCGACGCTAGGTAATAGCTAGGTCGAATTCAGTCGATGTCTGGAGGAGAATTCTAGAGGCCGGCTGCTCTGATCGGAAGTTTTCCGTGGTCTCTCTGATCAACACCAGGCGAATGCTGGAGCAGTATCCAAACAAACGGGCCACCGACCGCACGCAATCGGTGGCCCGTTCCTCTCCTCACCCTTCACTTATTTACACACACGTGCACTCATTTGCACTACACCACCACACATGTCGGGAGACCAGTCCTTAGAGTTAGTGCCGGCTGGGGAGGGTGAGAGATACCTGGTTCGGGAAAACCCTCCTAGCTGGCGTGCAAGACGGCGACAGATCTCACCATCCTTAAAATCCTTAAATCCAAACCGAAACCGTATTTTTACATGAAGAGGATGTTGATCACGCCCAACATGGATGAAAGGGATTTTCACTTTTGACTAATAACCTTTCGCGGTGACTAATACACGCCCTGGTTACAATCCGTCTCCGACATGTTCCCGAACTTCACTTAATATTCCTTATATATTTATACTTTCAACTCTAATAATTAATAAAATACTGGTAACCGTGTAATTTAGGAGTAATAATTACTACGTTTATCAATAAATAGCGTCCCAGGATTCACCGAAAAGAATTTAGCAACATATTCCGAGCAGAAGTTTCACGTTTTCTTCTGTAGTTCACAGGGAATCACTGCTACCAGTAATACATTCAGTTTGAATGGCATGCAAAGATCTAAAAGGCAGTACAACAGAAGGAAAACAACGCAGATGTGAATCATGAAAAGTCACTTTTAATGATATGTTGCTCTCTAAATTCCTACATGCACGTATCAGCTCTTGAACTAGTTCTTGATCATTGTTAGCTATTTTTTATAGAAACTTTTGCGTTACATTCTTGAAACATATGCTTGCGTTTTTCTCTTTTGGTGATTGGTGTTGTTCACAATTTGTTCCGTTCTCTAATTTTGACCCCCAAAACACACCTTTCCTTTTTTTGCAGCAGAAAGATGAGAAAATTTCTGTGAAATATAAATAAACCCTCGTCCAGATATGTTCAAGGCTTTGGAAAAATATTTTATAAGACCCAGCCTGACGTGTAGTGGAGACAGGACATTATCACTGGCTACCAATTTATCTTTCTGAATATTTTTTTCTCCCACTTTCCATTCCCGGTGAAGTTTAATATTTGACCTGTAATGAGAGTTTCTGACGCGGTTATCCCATTAAAACTGAATACATATGTATTTGGTGCAGCCATGCTGCAGTCCCAATACAATAACTCAGAATTTAATTAAATTTAGTAACAAAACACTGTGCCGAATAGCGGCGCAAAAGCTCCAGATTTGAATTTCTCATTCCAAAAACCTTTAGAAGCACATATCATTTTATAAGAAAATTTACCCTCTTAGAACAGTGTAATCAGAGAACCGAGAATAATGCAAATAGTAAATAAACTCATTGAAAATTTGTTAATAGATTATATTACATAGCGGATTAATGAACCGGCTTTTTTAATTTTAAATTTAATTTTAGAAATAGTCATTTTAAATCCTATTCGTACTTTGGAAATTCAGATACATTCCTAAGCAGCCATTACATGCATTAACATTTCTTGTGGAAAGAAAACTGTCTGTAATGTTGAAAGAGTTTAAAGGCTTAACTTCCTTGGTAAATTTCCATAAATATGAACCTTGTAAAACGTTTGCGAGGACGTTTTAGAGAAACAATTTGGTATAAAACAGAAAAATTGTGTCATGTTGGATGTTTCCAATTTTATATAGGTAGGACAAACATTCTGCAATCGCATTTGTGTATCCCCTACTTTGTTCACAAACCCCAATTAATTGAACACCACTTTACGAAAAATTAAATAAAGAAATATGTGTAACGAACGTTTTCCACACACTCTTGCTACTGGAGAATTCACAAAATTTAAAATAATGTACTTCGTAAAATGTTTGCGAGGGACTGTCATTGATGATAGTCAAGCCCTCATAAATATATGGATATAATGAAGATAGTTGATGTGTCTGGGAGATAAATTCTGCAAATGAAATCATTATGTTGATCATTAAATGTGTTTACAAAGCCAAATATAGAGCTCTCGTTATTGTATAAACAAAAGTTTACGAAAATAACTCATTATAAAGGAGAAGCTATTCAGAAAATTACAACAAAATTACAGAGATATAATTTTAATAGAATAATATTTCTTTTATAATATAACAATATTCAACAGATTCGTGAAAATAATATATTTACAAACTGAATGATCACCAATGAGCGTTATGTTTAGCTGCTATTTTAGAAATGAAACCTGCATGCATTGCATTCAATTGAAAGTCTCGACTTACATCCATCCAACACACACTCACGGCATCGTCTCCTGCTTGAAGTGGTATAACCCCAGTAGTATTACCATCATCATCATGAAAATGCATAGCAACTGTTTCTACCCAAGCATTATCTGTGTTTCTTGGATCATCGACATAACCTTCGTATACCACTTCTCCATTGTCAAAAAATGAATCAATTATTTCTTTGTGCTCCTCTAGAGAGTCTGATTTTTCTAAAGAATTGCAGGCTTCTTCAAGAAATTCTCTTTTTAATGTATCGTCCACTTCCTCACCAGGGTCTACCATCCCACCAGGTACGGCCCATTCACCAGAGTCTCCTCGCAGAATAGCAACCAACTGCAAAATCTTCTTCTGACTTTTTGGATGAATAATCACGTCACGCGAGCCTTTTCGTTTCCATCTGGTAACAATAGGATCAGCAGCATGATTTGGTCCCCATCGACCCAATAAACCTCGCCCAGATAGCCCTGTTCGACCCACAGGATTTAAGGGTCTTTTGTCTTTCACAGAATAGTTGATCACAAAGCTTTGTCTGTTAACATGTCCGTCTATACTATTCCATTTAGGGGAAAAAGTAGGATCAGATATATCTCTATCAGCCCACGGCTTTCCCAAAATAACTGGTGCCGTAAAATCATCCGGATTGTAATCTGGCCATCCAACATTCCATGGAACTAAACTATCCGAAAACTGAAGGCGTTTCACAGTGTTATTGTGAAAAGGATAGTGCAAACTTCTACAGTTCACATGAATTTTAGGCACAACATTTTCGGTAGACATCCATGGGCCAATTAAAAATGTACGTAGATAAAAAATATTCAATATAATCGCAACCAATGTTAGAAATCCATATCCAGAAATCCAAAGACCAGTCCTTGATATGTCCATAACACTGTCGAAAAGTATACAACACACACAGTAAGTAATCTTGGTTCTTAAATCGGAATCAAAGAGTCAGAAAGAGCACACTGCGGTTTGATCATATTTGCATAACAAATGACGCCCGACATCTTCGTAGAAACTGTAATCAATTACACAAAACCAAAATGTTTTCTAAAAAAAACAGCTGAAAGGTACCTTAAAGAAAAATTCGAAGTTGTCTTGAAATGTTTTAAAATGTTGTCTATCCCTAATGGGAAAATTTCGATAAAGGAATAAAACTTGATACCAGGTTTTCGCTCCCTGCGCTGTGGGATGCTTCCAGTGACTTGAGTAGGAAATATATAATCTTGTTTCTATATAATTTCTAAAGACATTTAATGTATTATTTACCATTTGGATTGTATAATTCTACAGAACCTGTAAGAAGTATTGTACTTCAGCTTCTGGGTCAATGACCCCCATATCGTCAAGTTTCTCTGATCCTTGAGCAAATGCTGAGATGGGCCCTTGTTTTGCTTCTGGACATAAATGTAACTTCAAATTAAGTTCTCCCCATTGCACGTCACACACAGTTTTATCTGTTTTTAACATAAATAAGTTGCATTAAGAATAAATGATAGCAATGTGAGTTGTAGACAATATTTGGTGACGAGGAATGTTCGCTCCCATGTATTAAAAACTATTTTGCATGGAAAAATGAACTACAAATGTTACGTAAAATTATTTTTGTCAAAATAACCAAACTCTCCACTCTTCTCGAATCTAGCGAAGCGAAGGCTCAAGAAAACGGATAATATGAGAGTTTCGAGAATTATTATCATCTTCCTCGGCTCCTTGGGTTTATTTAACGCCATCAATCCATAAAATTATTTGCGATCTATTTTCATCAACGATCTACTTCTCATTGTTCACAAGAATGTGTTATACAATAAGGTCTGCCGACGTTACAATATGCTAGGGAACTTATTGATTCAACATCTTAGCTCTTTAATTAAGTACCTTAAGTCATATTATGCCCGCGTGATTCCTACCCTTCTTAACTCTTCAATTTAAGAATACTAGTCCTGTCAGATAGCATTATCGTAACCGCAAGGGAGAAGCTTGTTTTACAACACGGCAGTCCTGTTTAGGGGACGATAAGAGACGCTTAATAGTTTATGCGTGCGTTTTGAAACGTACGTTTTAAGATATGAACAACGAAAGTTCAAATAATTCTTACTCTGTTTGTTGTAATTACTTATCTGCAATGCTGATTCATCGTTCAGCTACTGAAATGCCTCTTAGCCTACCAGTATATTCGATACTACATTTCGAACCGATTGTCATCACATTAATTGAAGAAAATACCTTTTCTAAATTAAATCAATAATTCTTCGATTTCCTACATTATGTTTAAATATTATCCTTAGTCATTAGTTAAAGCAGATTCTTCGTTACACCGAATTGAAATTCTGGCAATTATAAGCAACAACAATAATTTATATTGCATTTACCTAATAATTGTTAAAAATCTTCCACCAGTACTTCATGTGATGTAGATGTAAATGATGTGAGATGCAACTTAAACTTGATATAAAAACTTTTCCAGCCTTTTTGTAATTTCTTTCATAAATCGCCTTCACTTCTTCTAACAAGCCCTTCACTCAAAGATATGGATGGATATTTTAAGATGAGTAGTAATTTGGGGTGTTTTTTTTTAGTTTAGGTCTACATAAATGTGTCATTAACATACCGAATCAATAGCAATTAGAATCCAATGGGCAGATTGACCTGACAAATGCAATACTGTAATTATCTTTTACAGCTTTACAGACACTCATATCATCCGGAGCTTCTTTGAGATTCTGGAAATAATTTAGGATGAATTTACCATCTCAACCTATTCCCCTGCGTGTCGCCAAACGGGAATCACATTATTAGTGAGGTAATTTGTTAGTACTTCGATATATATTTATATTTACAGACGTCATAAACCAAGTTCTAAAATCAATCCATACGTTTTCAAATCTAATTTCTTAAACGTACGCCACCAGCTCTAATTAACAATTTGCAAGGTCCACGATTTACTGCCTTAATGTCTCCCATGTTCTGTCGTGTTAGTTCAATATCTGTCGATGCACTTATGACACCCACACACCATCCAATACAACAATGCTGTATTATCGCAGCCATAAGGAAGTCCCGTGTTCTGCCTTGTGCGGCAGTCGCGTTCCGACGACGATAAGCAGCACGGAAGTTCGAGCATACGCTCACTTTCTGCGATAGGCTCGCCGGTCATTGCGGGGCAAACCGTTCATTTTACGGGCAGCGGCCCTTTCCTATCTAATCACCCTTTCCCCGTGAGCACGCACTCTCTCCCTCTCGACCGCGACTAACCAGTAGGCTGTGAAAAGTGTGAGAAACGCCGCTCTACGTTACATTTCAATTGGTTTCCCAGACGATGGAATTCAAAGAGAACGTAACATCTCTAAATTTGAGTCAATTCTCGTAGCGTTCAATCTAATATATTTTTGATTAACTTTAATACATACGTAACTTGAAATAAATAAATAATTAAATAAATTTAATCTCCCAAAATGGTGTGAGGGTATTCCCTTTCCTATCTACTCCTTCCTCCCTCGCTTACATTCCTGTCTTGAATGTGAAAAACCCCCTCATCCAAATTGTGTACGTATTTCTCTTTGAATGACCTTCCTTTCATTAACTATTATATTTAAAAAATTTGAAACTGGTCAGGTTGAAGGACAAGCTAAATGGCCAGAGCCACCAATAAAGATATTTATTTATTTAGAACGTTCGTTTTATTCGTCTTTCCAGAGGTAAATGCGAAGACGTTGTTGTAGCATTAATGTTGAATTCGGATTGGAAAGTATTGATATTAAAATATGGCGCTCTCTCAAGCGGAGGTGCAACATGTAATTGAAATTAATTTTAATGTTTAATACAATAAAATATTCTCGTTTCATGGTAGCAATCCATCCGACCTATCACTGAACATATACGGAATTTTCACGCAATAACAAGACATATCAGTGAGCAAATGTACTTCTTGCTTTAGACGCAATAACCTACACCTTACGCCGTTTCATACTCATGTTAAACATTTCGTTCTAACATTTTATTATTATCAATGTTTCGGTGTCGTACCATTATATTATTACTAACAATTCTGAAACTTATTTCTCTCGTTTTTTGGTCACGTGATTAAATAGCATTCACATTTGAAACTTGTTATTAACCCACTAACAAAGGAATAATAGCAGATTTAATTCTATTCATAAATTTATTTTGAAGCAGCAGCATAGGTAGAGGTTAAGAAATGAAAGTAGAGAAAAGGAAATACCAGAGAAGATATCCTTCATGCATACTACATATAACACATTCTGAGAGGTTAAACTATTTTTTTTGTTGCAAATTTTTCTCCGAGATGATACCTCAGAGAGGAACAGGTTATTTTTCATACTGAGTGCTTCATAACGATGGTCGAACAAAACCGGACTATCAACTTCTCCTCTTTGAAAAATTCCTTCCCCGTTACTGCATTCCTAAATAAGGACACTTATTCGCGGATGACGCGGGGAGGCTTACATTATGAGGCGCGTCGGAGGCTGCAACGAAGGATAGATGGCGGAGGTTGGTTGGTTGGTTGTTAGGTTTCCGGCGCGTCAACTACCGAGGTTATTAAGTGTAGTCCCGTAAAGTGTGGTCATTGGAGTCCCGTAAGTGTAGTGAATGGGTTTTCCTCGAGAGGTGGCGGTGATCTTTCCCCACTGGATGGCGAGACCCAGAACCGATGTACGTCTATTTGCGACGTAGTATAATAACATTATACTACCAGTATAATAACGACCAGCATAATAACATTATACACTACTACAAGTTCCACAACAAAGATAACAATCATGTTTGAAACACCATATATTTTGACCTGTACAGTACTGTCCAACTGAATCAGATCCGACCAGATCAGTGAACCTTTTCAGTTTATTTGAACGTATGGCTTAAGAGACAAGACGTAACTATAAATACAAAACTATATAATATATAAAAAGCAATTGTACCTTTGTTTTTTTCTTTCTTAGTCTACGTAGTTTATCTGATATTTTTTTTTGATACGTCAGTCTATCCGCAAACTTAGAGTATGTAGTACAATTGTGAATAATTTAAAATACGTGTTACCTGGATGTTCCAGATGATTCAGTTGTCTAGCCGAGATATTGGCTCCCAACGCCTTGACAAGTACTGAAATAACGATGAACTCTGCTTGAACAACTATGATAATTCGCAGTCGAAGGGTGTTTTCCGTCTGATCATACAGTCTGATACCACCTGGCCTGGGCGTTACGAAACCATTGGGAGCACTAGCAGATGCGAACGAACGCAGAAGACAATAAATACTCTTTCAGGTGGCGGATTACAGCTGTGCGAAATATGTTTCATAGCTGACGCCACTCGCAAGTATGGAGAAAGACCCAAGAACGGTGAAAGGAGACTATTTGTACACTGTTCATCTCGTATAACCACAATTAAGCTATTCTTAGAACTATTTTATGTGATAATTTACGAACGTGGCAAAATATGAATAAAGAATATATTGATGTTAGGATCCTAATGTCATATTGACTTGAGAATATGTATCAAACTTAATTCTGTCATTTTTTGTGAATCAACAACAGTCCAATTTACCAGAAGCTTCTTTTCAATAAGACATATTAATTGATGTCTATACTGTTTCAGTAACTAACCTGTTCTTGGTTAATTCATATTTTTCATAAAAATTTTACAAATAACATCCTTTAAAAGTTTATTAGGGCATTTTACAAGATCTACATTAATTCTAGTAACAGATTCGGAAATGTTTGTTCTCAAACACCGTTCGTTCCCGACCAAAAACCGACCCCGCTCAACACCGACCAGACCGAGCAGCAGTCATCCTTTACTAGTATTATTTTAACCGTGCACTTAACGTAAATCAGCCTGATCACGATTTCCTCCAATCGGGAGCTTGAACGTCCCCATAGTGACATCACTACAGCGACATATAAGCTTCCGATTGGATGAGACCGCAACCGCAGATTTACGACTAAATAAACCGCACAATAGAGAGAAGAACCGCCTGGTGGTTGCACGGATCCGCAGGCGAGCTGCTTCGTGGCATACCGGTCCTGAACTAATTCGCCCGCTGCTCGTGCCGCGCCATCGCAGGCGGTGGCAGCGGCGGCGGGAGCCGTGTGGGAGCCGCCGAAGATGAAA